TACTCGCAAGAGTCAGTGGCTTCCACGAGGAGAAATGCCGCCACACGAACCGAAACCAGGGTTCCAAGAGAAGAAGGTTCTTCTCTGCTGTCGGTGGGATTCAGAAGGAATGTCGTACTATGAGCTCCTGCCAACCGGTACCACCGTGACTGCCGTCGTCCACGCTGCTCGACTTCAGAAGTTGGCTGGCGTCATTCAAAAAGAGCGTCCCAAACGCGACAAAGTTCTCCTTCTGCATGACAACGCTCGTTCACGTGTTGCGAAGATGACTCGCCTGACGATTTCGGAACCGGGCTGGGAAGTTTTACCCCATCCAGCGTATTCTCCGGACTTGGACCCTTCCGACTATCACTCGTTCCGGGCCCTCAAGAATCACCTGCGGGACAAGGCACAAGACGATCGAGCAAGGCTCGAAAATGATGTCGCCCGTTTCTTCGCTTCGCAATCGCCAGAGTTCTGGGCAAAGGGCATCGAGCAGTTACCGCGTTGGGAACATGTCATTGACATGTTCCCAAATCTCGCTAAAACCATTCTGGGCTCTTTTTTTTTTAAAGTCCCATTTACCTTAACATTTTTTTTATATAACGAAACAGAGACAGAAAATTTAAACTTCCCTCAGAAGTACCTATTTAATGCCTGAGTACAGGAAAAATCCTACTTTTGAAATGTGTCTCCTTAGCGTAGATTATTAGAGGGAAGTATTCGAAATGTATTCTCCACCCTTACTAAAAGGAACACAAGAAAGATTTTTAAGTTAGGCACACATAGAATCATAGAGGTAAAGAATTTGATGAGAAATGATAACTTTCGATCCCATATGTCACGTATTTCAATGGGGACGTACTTTAAATACGTGTTTCCCATTTCGCAAAAAATGAACGAATTAATTACTATCCAAGGTAATGGAGCGCCGAAGGCCCGACTATAGCGAGATTTTGATTGAAGGAGGCTTTGATTGAAGCCAAATCGAAAATGACATGGATAAGAGATTCACCTTCACGTTAGGAACTGGGCAATCGTCCACCTGACAGCGCGGCTAGTCCTCATGAGGATCATACCGGAAAAACTCATAACCTGGGTTACTCTGGGGACAGCTTTTCACCTATGGAGTACGTAGGGAGGCTTTTGATTGCTTTGGCTTCACCTTGTCATGTCGCTAATGAGCCCAAAGGCAGAGCAGGGATTTCCAGATGAGATATCTCCTTATTCCACCGCATCGATCAATCGATACAAATCACCGCTTCCGCTCAACTCATGAACTCAGCCTGAAAAAACACAATGCAGAAAAAAAAAAACAGAAGTTCCGGGCGGCGATACCGCAGCAAGCCCTAACTGAACGACAGCTAAATCGATTTCAATGGCGAAATTGTGCACAGCAGAAAAGAGAAATAACTCTTTTTGAATTTTACGAGACAATATCTCTCTTTTGAAGGTCCTTTGAAGGTGGGGTGGAACAAAGAAAATAAGCTAAACAGAACGTCAAGTGAGATTCAGTGTTCTCCGCAATCCCCGGAAAGGTGGAACTTCAAATTTGCTGGAACTATGTGCTAAGACATAAATAAACAAGTCTAATTTCATTCCTGTTGATCTCCTCAGAGAGGAATACGATTTGAGTTTTCGTCGTACCCAAGGGAAAAACAGCTGGCGAGGGACGAAAGGTCGAAGATCTCCCTGGCGACCGAGAAACTCGCATTTTCCATCGCACGTCAATATATGAAAGTGCACGCCCTCCCCCCATTGCAATGAAAGTGCACTTAATATTTGATCACAATGCAAACATGATATTCCCTCGCAGTTTGTCCTTGTCGGAGAGTGCTTTTCGTAGAATTTCTGCTAGCAAAGAAGGAAGGCTTTTACTGCATTTTTTGCTTTTCTCTACCATCGACTCTGCACGGCATTGAGAAGCTAAACAAGCAATATATGGGGGAATTCGTCCTATATTTATATACGCGAAGGAAACGCAGAGTTTTCCATTCAATTGATTTTTGCATGAAAGGCTAAAGGTTTCTTTTGCATTTTCTCCTCTCCAACAATCACATCAAGTTTCAGCTGGTAAGAACTGAATTCAGGCGTCCAATCCTAATTAAAGTGAATTCCCCCCCCCCACACTGACTTTTACTTCCGCTCAGAAAAACCATCAAGAAGCTAGCAATGGTTCATTGCAGGAAATTGCGTTCTGCATTGGCCCAATGCGAAAATCCGTTTTCGAACATATGTATTTCATTGCAGAACACAGAATTAAAAAATCGATGATACACCTTCCGAGAACAAAACGTATCTTGAAATTTCACGTGATTCAATTACACAAGAGGAGAAGAAAAGTCAATGCTATTGCTGAACAGTGACGCATGCCAAGCATATGACTTATCGTTCTGTGTCATCAGAGTGGAGTACAAGTCTATCTGGTAAAAGAAGTTACCAAGAAACTAACCGGACCTCAACCTCAGGACCACCTACAGCACAGGTTCCAACAGAGTTTGCGTCTGCCTCCACCCCATAAAGCGGGCGTCAGTCATGAAAGGAGGTTCTCCTTGGAGCGACGAGAATCATCCTTCGGTTGGTTGAGAACATTGGAAGGTTGATCTGGGGTTTCTGTAGGTCCGCGGAAATTTAGTATCGCTGTGAGAGTTCGCACTTGGAATATTCTTGGCTATGTATAACGTTTTTAAATCAATATAGTCCTGTTAATCTCGTCTCCATCTTAATTTTTGTGGGTGAGAAACTTTCGGTACACCCTGTACACTGAACGACTGACTGACACTTTTGCGTGCTGATAAGGTGCAAGCAATAGCAAAATTTGGTGAAGAAGAAATTGGTTAGTCCGTCGAGTGCCACCCAGAGGAAAGCATCTCGGAAGTCGAATGTGCGATCTTCCCATACTCTCTTGAATAGATTGCCTCATTCTCCCTCCTAGAGGTCTCTATCACCCTGTGCTTTCACATCGGAGCGATAAGAAACTCCTCTTTCCACTCTGCCTGACTGGCGCTGACAATATGCAGCAGGAACGGTGTCGGCATACCAACGAAGAAAGGGCCATACGAGGGGCATGGGTAACTGAAGAAGTGAAAAAGGCCGTGGGGATGGGTTACGTCATTTTGAAGACACGCGAAGTTAACATTTTCCAAAAACATCCAAAAATCCGTTCAAAGATCCGTCCGTTGATACCTTCCTAAAAATCAAACAAGGAGGTAGTGGCTGGCCAACTGGATGTTAATGT